CCCCCCCCGCTTCCGCCGCCCCTGATACAGATTTCCATGTCTGAATTCTAGAAGTGTCGAAAAAACAGGTGAACTCGTCTAAGTAGAATTTATAGAGCATTTTCTTGAAAGTAGTTACAGAGGGAGCTTTATGTATATGAACAATACGGATAACAATACGGTTAAAGAACGAGTCCCTAAACAAGGAAGTTCGGAAACGATGGACTTAAAGAGAAAATACAAGTCGCGGTACTCATGCCAGTAGGACAATGGCAGAAGCTTTAACGAAATCAACGTTATCGTTATCGGCAATGGTGTCGATACTGATTAAGGTGGTGGTGGCGGCGATGGGCGATGTTGATGGTGATGATGGCTGTAGGCTTGATAGAAAAATAGAAAATAGAAACAGAAATAGATCAGTGCCGGTGATAAATGAGGAAATGACAATACTGCTAACGTCGGATTAAAAAAAAAGTTTCATATTATGGATTAAGCAAATTATGACTCTTCATCATATTTTCTGTATTTGATATCACTCTTCATTGATTTTCAGCCTTTTAGTCTGATATCGGCATTTTTATTACATGCCAAGATATTTTAAGAACTAGAATGTCGTTTCTGTCCTATTCCGACATCCGACATCTCTCTAACCCGAACAAGTGAAATCAAATTCCGGGATACTGAAGTAGCATCATAATATTACAATCTTCCAGTTCGTTCCAGTGGTAAGGCTGAGTGGCTATCTTCTGAGTATTTCAAAGATTCTTGATTCATCGTAAAAAGAAAGATACCGATATTTCTGCCTCTCAAATAGTCGTGTAGTTTTGGTGTGTTTCTGACATTCGGCAGATAACTCATTTCTAAATATCTCTATATGACTAGTCCTCTTTGCTGCAAATTTATACACAGGCAGCCCAAGCAATGTATCTGTGCTGTCTCAAATACTGAAAAAATCATAAAAAGTTAAAATACGAAAAACAAAAATTAAAAAAAAGTTAAAAAGCATTAAGAACAACATGAGATCAGCACAGATACATTGCTTGGGCTGCCTGTGCTTTATTACCAAATATTCCATTCCAATCTGATTCCAATCAGTAGTTAGCAACACCTCGTTTTAATCTCACAAAAATTATTTTCGTTAAAGTAGTTATTGAATACCACGAATAATACTGATTTTATCATAAATGTCGTAGTGAATGTGGAAAGTAATGTTTTAGAGTGCATTGTAG